GTGCAGGGGCTGGGCCTTGCGCTGCAGATGCCAGCAGACGAGTTTAAGGAGAAGTATCATTTCGAGCTCCCGGCCAAAGACTCCAAGACAGGCATTGCCGTCCACTGCATGAGCGGGAAGCGCGCCGAGATGGCAGCAAAGCTGCTGGGCGACGCGCAGTACACGGACAACCTGTTTGTCTATTCGCCCGGATGGAGCGAGCTGTCTGGTTCCAGCGCAGCGGCAGCCCAGCTCGTCAAGCCCTGATTCCCTCTCCCCCCCGCTCTTTTTTCTTTTTCCACAGCACATTTATCCTCTTATTCAAATTAACACAGTTGAATGGCGGTGGTACTGAGCGCGCTGGCTAGCGTCGGGTGGGCGCTGGGGCTGGCGTTTGTTGTATTTTCGCTGGCGTGCGGCCTGTACGTTATCTCCGAGTGGGTGGAGGAGTACCCGCGGCAGACGCGGCAGCTCATCCAGGGCGCGGTGTGGGCGGTGGACGCAGTGCATGTGCTGGCGCTGGCCGACGGGCTGAGCGCCTGGCGGATAGCAGTATCGGTGGCGGCCAACCACGTCTACGCAGCGAACCTGGCGCGGTTCCCGCTGGTCAGCCTGAGCAGCGCGACGTTCCTGGGCAGCTGCGTGCTGGCGGTGGGCAACCACTTTGTGTGGTTCTTTTACTTTATCAGCAACCTGCGCATTCCGTTCGAGCAGGTGTGCTCGTTCATGTTCTTTGGCGTGTGGCTCGTGCCGCTGGCGCTGTTTGTGTCGCTGACGCCGATGGACGCGGCGCTGCCCAGCTCCCACGATGCAGAGGGACGCACAAAAACGCGCCAAAACATGTTCAAGACAATCGTTTCTTGTCTGCGGCGTGCCGACGAGCAGCTCCCGCAATCTTTGCACAACGATTAATATAAAAACCGGGCGGAAAGCGGGCCCGAACCTTCCTTTTCTTCTCTCTTCCCACCCCCCCCCGCGTGACCGTATTCTTTTTTTCTACTCTTACTGTAATTACGGAAAAGACAATGACCATACTCTTCTCCAAGGCTGTTCCCCAGAGCGGCGGCGGCAGCGAGACGCCGACGCGGCGCTTCCACACGACCGCCGACCGGCTGATTGACCGCGCCGAGCCGGACATCACCAACATCTACGCGGCGCTGGTGCAGGGCCAGAAGACGCGGCCGGACGCGGCGCTGCTGGGCAAGCGCGACGTGCTGGGCACGGTGTCGGAGGACAAGCAGGTGCAGCACAAGGTCGACGGCAAGCTGGAGACAGTGACCAAGAAGTGGAGCTACTTTAAGCTGGGCGAGTACAAGTGGATGACGTACAACGACATTGTCGAGGCAACGACGCAGCTGGGCGCCGGGTTCCGTGCGCTGGACGTGGCGGCAAAGAGCCGCGTGCTGATATACGCGCCGACGTCGCGCGAGTGGCAGCTGTGCGCGTTTGGCGCGTTCTCGCAGTCGATGCAGGTGGTGACGGCGTACGACACGCTGGGCGAGAGCGGGCTGCTGCACGCAATGAACCAGGCCAAGGTCGACGTGGCGTTCCTCAAGGCCGACCAGATGCCGCTTCTGGCGCGCATTATGGGCGACATTGAGACGGTGCGCCACGTGGTGTACTACCAGGACGCCTACGGCATGCCCGACGGCTGCGCCGAGGCGATTGAGAAGGTCAAGGCCAAGTTTGACGTGCACACGATGGACGAGGTGCGCGAGCTGGGCAAGCGCAATGCGGTTGAGCGGCAGGAGCCGGCGGCCGAGGACATTGCGCTGGTGATGTACACCAGCGGCAGCACGGGCAAGCCCAAGGGCGTGCTGATCAGCCACCAGGGCGTGATGGCCGTGACCGGCGGCATCCACAAGTTTATCGCGCCGTTTATCGACTACAGCCAGGACATTATCCTGTCGTATCTGCCGCTGTCGCACGTGCTGGCGTTCTTTGTCGACGTGTACTGCATGTACTCGGGCATCCGCATCGGCTACGGCACGCCGCGCACGCTGACCGACGAGAGCGTGCGCGAGTGCCAGGGCGACATCAAGGAGCTGCGGCCGATGGTGATGATGGGCGTGCCGCAGGTGTGGAACACCATCCGCGCCGGCATGCTGAAGCAGGTCAACAAGAGCAGCTGGCTGGTGCGCAAGCTGTTCTACAACGCCGTCGAGCTGAAGAACACGCTGCGCGGCCACCACCTGCCGCACAGCTTTATGGACAGCATTGTCTTTAAGAAGACGCGCGAGGCCACCGGCGGCCGCCTTAAGTTCGTCATCACCGGCGGCGCGCCGATCAACCACAACGTGCAGAAGCTGATGAACGCCGCGCTGTGCCCGATGATCCAGGGCTTTGGCATGACCGAGGCGTCCGGCCTGCTGTCGGTGCAGCTGCCCGACGACCCGACCTTCAACAACGTGGGCGCCCCGTGCCCGTCCGTGGAGATGAAGCTGGTCGACGTGCCCGAGGCCAAGTACTTTGCCAAGGACGGCAAGGGCGAGATCTGGGTGCGCGGCCCGTCGGTGTTCAAGGGCTACCTGGACAACGACGAGCTGACGCGCGAGACTGTGACCGAGGACGGCTGGCTCAAGACCGGCGACATTGGCCAGTGGACCGAGCAGGGCCAGCTGTCCATCATCGACCGCAAGAAGAACCTCATCAAGCTGGCCACCGGCGAGTACATTGCGCTCGAGGCCCTCGAGTCCACCTACAAGAACTCGCTGTACATCCACAACATCTGCGTGTTTGCCGACTCGCGCATGTCGCAGCCCTGCGCCATCGTGAACATCGACGAGAACCAGATCGCGCAGATGGCCGACAACGCCGGCATCCACTACAACAACCCGTCCGAGATCGCCACCAACCAGGAGTTTATTCACGCGGTGCTAGCCGACCTGCAGCACGTCGCGAAGCAGAATGGCCTGAGCAAGCTTGAGACCCTGGTCGCCATCCGCATCGACTCGGAGCTGTGGTCGCCCGAAAACGACCTGCTCACGCCCGCCCAGAAACTCAAGCGCGCGGATATCCGTGACCACAACCAGGCCAAGTTGGACGACATGTATGCACAGATGGGCCTCGAGTAAATCCATTCTAAACATTGTTACTTTTTTTAACCGACTGATTTTACTTTATGGCATCCTCTGCATCTAGCAGTGGCTAAGATGCTTCTCTTGGACGGGTAGCAGCGCTTAAATGACAAACCCAGTCATTGTTAGTCTCAAGCCTGTTTAACATTAAAAAATTTACTTTCCGTATTAATTACTAAACTTTATTAGGAAATATTGACGCTGAAAAGCACTTTCATAGCTACCAGTGCATGTAGGGTTATTAACAAGCAATATTTTTTGTTTCTACGCTGCAAATTAACAAGAGACACGGCTTTAACACTATTCAACAGCCACGACCATTAGAGCAACTATGGCTAGCAATTCTAAATGGTGCTGTGTATTCACTGCAAAACATCAACTTTATCTTACGCTTGCTACAATTTTTAGCCACAGCATCAACAATTGCACTGGTAAATTCACGGTTGACAACACCAACTAAGCCCTATGCATTTAAGGCATTTAGTTTAGCTAGTGCTGGTTATTGCCTGCTTGGCTCAGGGGCAGAGCGTCTGTCTCGTAAACAGAAGGTCGCAAGTTCAATTCTTGCAGTAGGCATAATTTTTGCTGAATTACTACATTTTTGTCTGTTATGCGGGGGATCGGCGGTCATTGCGCCGCTATTTTGTGTTCGGTCAGCGTTGTTACTTTTTCTTTTGGCTAACCGTAAAAAACTATCTTTGCCTTACACTCTCAAGTTTCACCAGAGTCTCGTTGGTAGCTAAATCAACGGCAAAAAATT